ACTAGGGAAAGACACTTTCACTAGCGAATATATTCAGTCTACCCCGCATCTCTTCAAATCCTTCATTAAATGATTCACCGTAAAATAATACATATATGTATACATATATATACGTATATAAATAAAATAGAGGTACTTGGCCAGAGTTGTGAAAGCTTGAGCAAATAAAGACATACTCATGTCAGATGGCCATTCAACAAATGAGGATAATCCCCAGAACACATTCCATATTCTTTGGTGAGACTGGCATTCGGACTGAATAAGAGACAGTAATATCGGAGTGCTTCGAAGCGGGTACTCTATTAGGCAGCCGTCGAGGTTAAATAAGAGGGATAATAGCGATAGGAAGGTGCCAGTTTGGGTTACCGAAATTGTAAGGGTGCAGGTCCGTGTATCAGGTATAGTAGGAGTTTCGAAAAAATTGGTGAATTTTGCAGGGGACCGGCCGTTGTCCGTTAGGCCGTGTTATCCGTTCCGTCATGGATTTCGTTACCACGGAATTGTACTCTCTTTCGTAAGCGGCGCGGAAGCGATATGAGGTTGTAACAGGAATGGCCTGTATAGTTATGGAAATACACTGGATGCCAATGAGAGCAACGAATCAAAAAGTGGGTCAAGCCATGTCATCGAAACCATTAGGTCTGTTCGACGGAGATATTATGTGCTTGCCGTCAGGGGTCCGTCGATTTTATTGGTGAATTTTCAGGTCAAATTAAGCCAAATAGTCGGAATATTCGGGCTAGTTCCCTGATGTGGGCTTGATGTGTTGAAAATAGCGACCAAGCTTTAGTCAGGTCGATTCAATTCGTAACTGCCGGGCCGACAAAGATGAGTATAAGACTTCTTCAGTCCCATCAGGACTTAGGAAAGTTTTGTTCTTTCTTTCCCATCGTTCTTTTCTCTCTTTGTCATTCACTTATTCATTCTTTATTCATTCATTCCTTTCAAAATGCGCTGTGCGCTCTTTTTTCTCTTGTCCCACTTGCTCTGGGATGTAATAGCCCACAAAGCTATGCCTGTCCTTCGGCTTATACGGCATCCCGCTCTGCTGCCGCAGAGTTCTGCGCGACCTTCACTGCTAGCATAGTGACCGCTACTACCCGCCTTCCAAGCTTTGCTTCTGCCTGTGAATTCAACACCAAGCATCTATCGAGTGCCTGTAGCTGCCTCGATACTGTCTGGACTACTGAAGTATCAGGAGTAAGTTTTTCTATGGTCGAACTTACAGCTACAACCCCTAACATATACCAGTCCGGATCGGCACAGACCACAGCTATTGCAACCAGCACAGTTACTACCACTGCTGCTTCAATCGGTTCGTCTACTAGATCGACTACTCTCGTCAAGACCACCGGCCCGGCCTTCTCTACTACTTCTTTGGTTGATGTGCCGGCCACCACTGCGGCGCTGACGGCTGTTCAAGCCGTGACAACCGTCACTGCGGACTCGACTGGATCCGGCACTACTTGTGTTGTGTCCGAATACGCCTCTCTCTCTTCCGCTGTCAAGTCTTGCACCAACATCGTGCTGTCTGATTTTTATGCCCCTCCTTCGAGTACCATTGATCTGCAGAGTCTCCAGACTGGTGCTGTTGTGACCTTTGCGGGCACTACTGTGAGTCAAAATACTATAGATACTACTTGAACATGTCACTGATCTTTCAAAGACTTTCGGAGATACATACGACGATGATTTCGATCCTATTGTCGTCTCTGGCCACGGTATCACCATAACTGGTGCCGAGGGCCACGTTATTGACGGCAATGGTGCTGCCTACTGGGACGGACAAGGTTCCAACGGCGGCCAGGACAAGTCAGATTGAATGTCACACACATCTCATTTCATCGCTAACAACTATATCCAGGCCCGACCACTTCTTCGTCGTCACGAAGACCTACAACTCCAAGATCAGCAACCTGAACATCATGAACTGGCCTGTTCACTGCTTCGATATCACTGGAAGCCAGAACGTCGTCTTCTCGGGTCTTGTTTTGAACAACACGGCAGGAGATAAGCCTAACTCTGCTAGCGGCAGCATGGCCGCAGCCCACAACAGCGATGGATTCGACATTTCCTCCAGTGACTACATTACCCTGGAGGATATCGAAGTGTACAACCAGGATGACTGTGTTGCGGTTACCAGTGGAACTCACATTGTTGTTGACAATGTGTACTGCTCCGGTGGCCACGGTCTCAGCATCGGATCCGTCGGTGGAAAGAGCAACAACACTGTGGATGGAATTACTTTCAAGAACTCGCAGGTTGTCAACAGCCAGAACGGCTGTCGCATCAAGAGCAATGCCGATACGACTGGCAGTGTAAGTTGATGACATGACATTCTTACACTTTGCTCCGCCACCAAGGCACTAACATGACTAACAGATCAGCAACATTGTCTACCAGAACATTACTGTCTCTGGCATCTCCTACTACGGTATCGACGTCCAGCAAGACTACCTCAATGGTGGCGCTACTGGTGAGCCAACCAATGGCGTCACCATCAGCGGCGTCACTTTCGACAACGTGAAGGGCACAGCGACCGACGATGCCTACGATTACTACATCCTTTGTGGCTCGGACAGCTGCTCTGACTTCACCTTCACTGATGTCTCCATTACTGGAGGAGGTGAGACCAGCAGCTGCAACTACCCTTCCAGCGGCTGCCCTTGAGATAGTTTTCATTATGTCTTGTTGAAATGAGTTGGTGGGGAATCGAGGTATTCTATTCTATTTATACTTTTTCTTTTTTACTACAGATGAGACTTCATTGTCGCTGTCGATAGGCGCAATTTGTTAAAAGTAACTTTCTTAACGCTTCTTCGATACATCATAAAATAGTCTCACAATAGAACCTTTGGCCTTACTCATAAGAGAGAAGATAGATGGAGAATGTGAATGATGATCCATTTTTGCTAGGGATTCTCTCTATATTTATGCAAAAACTGACCAGTCAATCACTATCATTTTTAGGATATTCGTAATACTTTATCTGTAATTGGGGCTTTATCTGCGGGTTCGACCTCTATCTCTTAGTTAAAGCTTCACCGCTATACGCCGCTACTTTAAGTTCTGAATTTGGAAGCCGCGAAGACACTTGATTTATAAAAGATATAGAGCAAAACACAAACCAACACTGGTGGCTCATCAAAATCACTGTGAAAAGAAAGCTGATGTGAGTCAATCAAAGATTCGCTCAGAATAGTGACGCCACATATAAATGCTTGTTCGAAGCTCATGAGTCCAATAGATTAGTGAGTTGAAAGCGAAAACTCATCACATATCTGAAGCTTTGGTCAATATTGGCAAGTGGATGTGTTAACCGGATGGTGCGGCTTTGTTCGTAGTCTGCTCCAGGTTCATATCACAACATGATGAAATGAGCACATTAGGAATGCAAATTCCAATTTGGCGCCGATACTTTTCGCTCCTATGAGGTGGACTGACAGTGTACTGGTGAGTCAATTAACGATATTGGAGGGCTCAATTGTAATCCACCGGAGTTAACGAAGCTAGAGGGAAACGTGAAATAGATGTAATGTAAACCATTCAAAATTTAAACCCCTATTCGAGGATGAACCTATGGTATGCACTAAGGAGTGGACATGTAGTATTCCTTCTGTAAGGCCATACAGTGATGAATTTTAGTTTACAATTACAATAAAATACAGCCTGTTTCTACATAATTTATGCAATTGACGTCCAGTCACGTCTTTTACCTGTTTGTCATGTTTGACGACCCTCAGGGTCCCCGCGGGTAACCCTCATGAGGGTCGGCCTCGGTACGACCCTCCCCGCGGGTCCAGGTTTCGGACCCTGACCCTCCGCATGGGGAGGTGAGGGTCAGGGTCGTGGAGGGTACCCGCGGGTCCTAGCCAGGCCTAATTAGAATCAATGCTATTAAGTAGCGTAGGTAAGACGCGCCGATAAAGCTCTTCGATCGTACGCGAAGAAACGCCACCTCTCCGAGATAAGGGATCTCCGAATAGTGGAATAAGGCCTGATCGACGCGGAAGACCGGAAAAAGCAGCCCAAAACATCTGCTTAATTTGCTTCCCTCGCGCTGGAACCATTTGAACCTGATGGCCCTCTTTCGAATGCTGAAATAGCTGATCCTTCGGACGCGTAAAAGTCCATTCTTGACGCTGGCCAATACCACGTTCAACCGTACATTCGTCAGACCAATAGACGCGGGCCCAATCCTCCGACGTAAAATGCTGATATTGAAGGGCCCAGCGTAGACGTTTCTCAGCGTGTGTAGGCGTTAAGGTCGGCCGCTGCATTTTTCTCCATTTTCGAAGGCCCATTTCGTGGGTTAGACGCCAAATTGACATACGGTGGACCTTAAAATCAACCTCTCCGAGTAGATCCTTGATCAAAATTGAAGGCTTTTCTTGTATAGTATCGTAGATATAGTCACGATCCTCTTCAGTAAGCTTCCTCGGTTGGCCTGAGCGTGGAAGACTTTGCTGTTTTTTTGACGCTTTACCTCTTGGGTAAGGGTGTATTGAATAGTTGAGCGTGGAATGTCGGGAAAGCGCTGCTTCTTAATAGTCGTAGCACCCCAGCCATTTGTAGCATGTAATTCGCAGATCTTAGCCCGGGTAAGGCAGTCAAGCTCTGGACCTCTTTTTCCGCGTATTGGAGGCATTATTATAGAGAGACAGAGTGAGAAACGCGTAAAAATTATAGCGTAGATACTGGCGCGTTGAAAACGCGAGTGTTGACGTACTAGTAAAGTAGGCGGTCTAAAAAGCGGTCACGGTCCCGAAGTACTGGAGGTCAAATACTAATGTTACACCACTGTACATGACATTTATGCACTTGCTATCGTGTACTTTGGCTGTTAATTTAATGTTGGCGTTTTGTTCAATTATGCAATTTTATATTTATTACAAATTTGTCAATCTGTTCGCTGATTGCTTATGCCAATTTGAAATCAACGTCTCCTTTCTCCGTGTCATTAATCACCATCACTATATAAGTATCTCGCTGTATTCATGTTAGGCTCTGGGGCTCAACTTTACCATGAGCGGATGTTTATCCCAAAGAAGGAAACAATCTTGTTCAAGCCAGTTATGTCCTGGTTGCTCCAACTCCATGTCAAAGTTGAAGATCATACGAGCGAGAATGATGCGCATTTCAACATATGCAAGGCTAGAAATAATGTCAGAGTTATCCAAAAGCACAAAATATAGTGAAGGAGAAGTGGAAAGAGGATTGAATGTATAGAAGGAGCTACGTACTTTCGTCCAATACAGTTTCTTGGACCGTAGCTGAACGGCTGCATTGCGATTTTGCTGTCATTTGCGTAGCGAGTATCACCTAGATGACGCTCTGGGACGAATTGCTCTGGGTCGGTGTAATTGATAGGCGAATGACTAGCGGCTAGATGAGAAACGGAGACGATGGTCTATCGCGAATGTTAGTGGCTTTGGGTGTTTCATTCGGAAGATATCTTGTACTTACACCTCCGGGGACCCAGTCCCCGGCAATCATGTCACCCTGAGCATCGACAATGCGTGGAAGCCCAGCTGCAACGGGAGGATATAATCTCAAAGCTTCAGTGAGCGTGGCAAGGCAATACTCCAGCTTGTTGCAGTTCTCAAGCGTGATCTCTTCCTCCTTTGTAAACGCCGATCTGATTTCATCCTGAAGTTTCGCAAGCACGCGGGGGTTCTTCAACAATAGAAATGTCACCCCGGAAAGTAAAGTCGCAGTAGTCTCAGAACCGGCAATGATCAAATTGCTAGCATTGGTGATCATCTCCGGAATGCTGAACCCCTTTTCAGTGTTGTTGTGCTTCAAGATATTAGCGAAGAAATCAGGTCTCTCGTTTGACTTTCTCAGTCGACTGTTGACCTTTGCCGTGGTCAATGCCATGTGGGCCTCTTTCTGAGACAAGATGTGCTTTGGGGCAATCAATGGGAGGATATAGTTCCATCCAGGAAAACGCCGAGCGACATTTGAATAAGAGCTCATTTTGATACTGCCGAAAAGGATGGAAATCCATTGATGGTAATTCGAATTCTTCAAACAGTCAAATGGCTCACCAAATGCCAAATCCCCAATGATATCAAACGTCGTGAAGTTATACCAGGCAACCATATCAACGGCGCTTTTCCCACAAGCGATGTTCTCACGCAGGCGCTGCATCAGAAGGTCAACATAGCCCTTGATGATAGGCTCTTGCTCACGCAACGAGCTGTCAGAAAATGCGTGTGACAACAAACGCCGAAAGCGAGAGTGATCTGTATCGCTGGAGAGAATGATACTCGGAGCTCCGTTGCCGGTTGGTCCATAGAACCGGTGATCCTTCATTTTCTGGCTGTGGCCAACACGAGTACCATAGATGGGCTTCCAGGCATCTCCATGGATGAAGGAAAGCTCATCGGGGGCAATACGGACTACCTCACCGTACTGCTGATGCAATGTCTTTATTTCTTGTGGGGAACGACCATACATGATCATTCGCATATAGGGTAGACGCGTGGCAGCCATTGACTTTGGGCCTGGGTATTTGGAAAGAGGGTGGAAGTAGACATTGTATATGATGAGGCCGATGGAGTAAAGGGCGATCTAATACATGTGTCTTCGGTCAGTTGAAGTCCTGTCATGATGGCTGAAGAGTAGACTGCACTTGCCAGTGGCAAACTCAACCCGATCAAAGACAGAGTCATATAGGAGAAGTCTTTCGGACTTGCAAGTCCTTCAAGGCCAGGAAGAGCCATAGTTAAAGTTGAAGTTTGGAGTCTTGATAGATCCGATTCCCACTTCTTCAGTCTGGACTATTTATACCTCGCCCCCATTCATTCTACTCGTGTCACCAGCTACAAGACATTACGAATTATGCTACAAAGACCGTGCACTATGAAGGTCCTTGAAGAACCCCGCACACTGCAGGTTTGACCCCTGTCACGACGGGGCTTGAGTGACTTGAAGACTAGTCTGGGTGTCAAGCGGTCTAGCCCTAATTTGGCCATCTAGAGAAACCTCAAAGTGCCCCTAGAGGCTTCAGCATACATTCCGATATGGACGGGGAAGACAGATAGAGAGGACATGTACAATAGCACATATACACCATTTTGTATTATATTCTAATGATTGCCTGTCATTTTCTTGGCTGTTCAGCTGTTCTAGCATCACATGCGAAACACACATGGTATCTTTGCAGATCGTCTGAGAGCATACGGCAAGACAGCTCCTCCAGCATGGGATAAATGTACTTTGCTCTTGGATTCAAACACAAAATTATGCAAATTCATAAAGATGCCGGATTTCCATTGAAGAACCCACCAGCCTGTCATAACAACTATATTCTCTGAACAATCAGACGTTGTATATGGGTCCGGTGGCACCGCATACATTAGCTTAAAACACTAGTGTGTCCAATGAGAAATAGTGCCTATATGACGCTACACGCCGATCTGCATTTGGAAATCACACGATTGTTGTTTGAAGGAAGCTTACTAAGAGATGACAAGCTATAAGCATTTGATTCATTTAAGGTTAAATGAAGAAAGTCTATTGTCAGCCTGGAAATACTAGGAGGGTCTGTAATTTTTGTAAAAAATGTAAGGGCCGGTTATAAGGGGTTTGTCAATACGACGAGCACATATTAAACAGAATTCCTCTAGTTAATGAAGATAGTAACCAGAGCACTGTTCACGGAAAATATAATAAGCATAAAGATTGATTATTCCCGAGCAAAGACATTAAAATTTCTTCAATTTAACAGAAAATCTGCAAGCCTCCCGATTAATCAGTGTCGATGTCTGATCCTGTCGGCAGGCCTGACAGCACTCCCGCATAGCAGCATATATATAGAGCGAGCTACATCGGGCAAATGAATACATCATCATCATCATCATCCTGTATCTTCTTTGACATAGTAATTCCGTTCGGTGCTGAGGCGATGGATTTCTTCTGCATGCCTGCGAAGATGCATCTCATGTAGCAGATCCTCTTCATCACGAGTTTTTTAGGCATTTTTGGTGGGTAGGAATACGCGTAAAAGTTGAAAAGGTAGGAAATTTGCATTACGGCTGTTAATTGCATTATGGCTGGGGGACACCCCCTACCCGCGAGGGTGGGGGGCGGTCCTGTGACACGGCTACACACACACACAATTTATTAACGCCCGGCGGCTAAGCCGAAAGGGCAACTATCTCTGATCTACTATACATGTCATAGTATATATAGTACTGTGTCTCCTCAGAGCCCATACATAAAGCCTTACAATATATGTCATCTCAGATGTCCGTATCGCAGCGGATCCTCGTGGGTTAGTAATTTTGTTAGTAGGCTGGCTTGAAGGCGCTTCTCCAAGTGTTCAACATCCTATTTTCGGCAGTTGAAGCGCGTCTATCATCTGTAATACGAGGTGGTTGGTGGGTTAGATCGGCGAAAGGGGGGTGATTTATGTTCGTCGGCATGGTTAGGTGGCCTCGAGTCGGCCCGTGGCGATGGCGAATCGTATTGAGGTCCGTACCGCCTCTAAGTTCGGCGTCCACTTCTGATCATCGGAAGTCGACTTCCCTCCTAGGAAGAAGGATATGTTTCCTCGGTGGGTGTTGGTACATTGTAGTAGTTCCGTTCGGTGCGCCGTCCATTTTTGACATCGAAATAGGAAGTGCTCCACGGTCTCTCTCGCTTGTCCACACGCACACTGGTCCGTGTCTGCTACTTTAATTCGATAGAGATATCCATTGAGTCTTGCCATGCCGGTTCGGAGTTGAGCCAGCACGCTCGCTTCTTTCCACGATAATCGGTCATACAGCTGCCGGGTGTGTTTGCCTGGGAGTGCTGCATCAACTCGTTTTGCGTGTCTCCCTACGTTCACTGGCAGGTCATTGCTAGGGACTGCTTGGGATCGTGCGATATTCAGTGTTGTTGACTTCATTCTCGGGACGCGTTCTTGCGGGAGAGCATCTTCTTGTGTCGCGGCTCTGGCCTGTTCTTTAGCCAGACCCCGTAGTTTATTGTCTTCGCTCGTTGAGATCCACCGGATATTGATCTGGTTTCCATTTCTCCGTAGCTTTCTCATCGACTTGTACAGTTGGCTGACGAATTCCTGGCCTGACTGTTGTCGAGGATTCCTTAGTGTCAGAGCCGCCGCTTTGTTGCTCGTGAGCAGCGTAATCCTGTAATCTTTCAGTCCAACTACCATGTTCAATGCATGTGCCATCGCTGCTAGTTCCGCAGAGAACGGATTCTGCTCTGCTCTTGCACCCAATGTGACGGAAAGGGTCTGCAGTTTCAGTTTTCGATACCGAGGTGGCTGCCTCTCGATCGCCAACCCAAATCCGACCAGCTCGTTCCGTGCCGAACTGCTGGTTGCGATCTGCATTAACCCGCCTGGTACGGTCGGTGGCTGCGGAGTTACTTCAACACCAGCCTGTACGCGTACTTCCCATGGTGCCAATGTGAACGGATTGATGGTTTCCAGTGTTTCCATCTCAATGTTCTTCAGCGCGTCTGCTACTTGATACAGCGGCGAACGATGGTATCTTCTGAATTTCTTGATCCGTGCCGTATTCCTGCGGAGAGGGTTGGTTTCTGGCAGGGTATGTCCGTCCACATCTTCACGGCTCGTCTCCAGAAACGGTGTTGAACAGTGGCAAGGTGGGCCTCCGCCTCTGCTACCCTGGTCGCAACTGTGAGGAATGTTCCTACAATCGCCTGCGCTCCTACCCTTTGGATGCGGTTGATCGGCCCCATGGCCTTATCCTTGCACGCGTGCATCCAGACATTGGATGCGTAGTCCACGACAGGCGCCACCGTCGATGTGAATAGCTGCCGCGCTGTCGCTGGGGATAATCCCCGAAGTCGTCGAAGCTCCATCGCGGCCTCCAGGCCCTTGGATGCTGCCCTCGCAATATGTTCCTTGTACTTGAGTTTCGTGTCCATGAGGACGCCCAAGATCTTGACATGGTCCTTGGGCTCAACGGTTTGGCCCTTGATAGTGAAAGGTCCCTGGTCCAATTTGTAAGCCTTGGGGGCAAAGTGTATGATAGCTGTTTTGTCTGCTTCAAAAGTCGCTCCGCTCCTTTTCTCCCAGTCGAGCGCTTCGTTGATAATTGCTTCAATGCCTTCCCGGTTGCTCTGGGCGGTTGGCCCGGTCACCCATGCGGTAAAATCATCCACGAACGCCATCGCTCCGCCCTGGCTGTCGATCTGTCTTTGTACGAGGTCTGCATTGAAGAAGAGGAATAGGATCGGGGACAGGGGCGAGCCCTGGGGTAGGCCAGCCTGTGGAAGGCTCTGGACCTCCGACACTTGCCCATTGATTTGGATGGTCGCCGTTCGTTCCGAGCAGAACGCTTCGACCCACCGGAGCAGGTCACCTGGTATGCCTCGCGCTTTCATTCTCTGGAGCAGTCGTTCTTTGCACACCCCGTTGTAAGCGCCTTTGACATCGAAGCTGATCAAACTCAACACCCGTCGGCCACGCCACGCTGTGTAGATCTGCTCTTGCAAGAGCACAAGCGCCTGCTCCGCGGACCGTTGCTTTCGGGCTCCGAAATGGCTGGTCGGGAGCAAGCCGTGAGTCTCTACCGCGTGCGAGATCCTTTCTGCAACCACGGATTCTAGCATCTTGCCCAGCGTCGCGAGGAGCGAAATTGGCCTCCATGCCTTCGCAATGGTGTAGTTTTCCTTGTTCGGCTTTTTGAGCGGTATGATCTTCGCATGTCTCCACTGTCTCGGTAACATGCCTTCTTCCAGTGACGCCTGGAATAAGTTGAGAACCCTGTGTTTGACCGTGGGCCACGTCATCTTCCAGACTATCGCCGGTAGACCGTCTTCCCCCGGCGCCTTCCATGATTTCGCTGTAAAAAGCTGTCGTTCTACCTCCTCCAGGCTGATAGCAGGCATTGCCACCGGCTCTCTTTGTGGTCTGGTCCCCTCGTCGTCAATAACGTCAGGCAGAGGGGGAAAGAATTTGGACAGCAGCTCTTCTGCTTGCTCTTGATGATCCGTGGTGGTAGTCCCGTCTGCTCTGACGAGCTGCGGTAGCTTCCCGAATGCTGCGTCCTCTCCCGACTTCAGGTATTTAGCGGCTTTCCAGATGTTATCGTTGTCTGCGAGAAACTCATCCCAGTGCTTCTTCTTTTGTTTGCGGATGGCATCGTGGTATTGTTTCGCCGCACTTTGGGCTGTGTTTTCCAGGTGCGGTACTTTTCGTCCCGCCCGGCGCTCCGAGCGAGCATGATTTCGCCAGTATGTGTATATATGGCGCAACTGTGTTAAGTCGGCTGTCCACCATCGTTTCGCGTGTGGTGACGGTTTTGCCTTTGGAGTCAAAGCATGCACCGCCTCGCTGACCGCCGTCATGAGTCGGTCAGTCTTCTGCTGCACCGTGCCTCCCGACGGAGTGTTGGTCAGAGCACTCGCGATTCTAGCATTGATCTCTTTCCATGGTGCGTTCTTCAGCAGAAGTCGTTCCTGATGCTTCGGGGCTGACCACGGTGCATCGAACACAGTCTCAATGGCACGGTGATCTGAGCCGTGCTCTGTCCCATGTATCGCACACTTGATCATTGAGTCTGTCAAATTATCAGAGGCCAGAACGAGGTCGATGGTCGACTCGCAGTCCCCGCTCTGTCCACCACCGTGCCATGTCTTTGTACCTCGTTTGAGTAAGCTGCTAAGAGCAAACTCGTTCATGAGGTCAATGATTGGATCCGCTTCGCCCTGTCTTCCCAGGGACACCTCGTCTCCTCCCCAGAGTTGATCATGGCGGTTAAAGTCACCCACAACCATGACCTCCACCACAGCGCCCGTGTCTCGCCGCACCTTTGCAACTGCCTTCCTCAGGTGATCGCACGCGCCGTCCAACGCCGAGGTATCTCCCCCTGGACGTAAACTGATGCCATAAAAATCAGTCGCTCGGGGAGCCGGATGACCGCCGCCGTCAGATCCGGGGATTCTATAGCCACTTGCTCCGCTTCTATGTCTCTATTAATCCAGAGCATGCTCCGGATTGCCCATCTACCTTCCCTCCAGGTAGAAGGCACCATCTTTGTCCATTTGTGATGTCCCATCGGGGTAGTCAAGAGCCGTCCTTGAATTCTTCTCGCTTGGGGCTCCTGAATCGCTAACGCCACTGCGTTCTGAGTGTCTTCGTCGTTCATTAAGCTCTCATGCACTGCGCCCTGCTTCCTCACATTGAGTTTGATTATTCGAAGAGTTTTATTCATGTCGTGACGGGTATAGCTTCCGGCACGTTTTGCTGTACGATTCATGTGGACCCCCGCATGGAATGCACTTCGGAACTGTTTGGTTGCAGTGACTGTGGCGGTGGCCTTCTATAGCGCATTTTCCGAACCTTTGAACGTTCTTGCACTGGAATGCCTTGTGGCCCAGCTCCTGGCAGTGGTAGCATTGCATAGGGCGTGGTCGGTATTCGAAGGCGCTAGTCACCCCAGATTCTCCCCCGGCGTGGAAGAAACCGTCGGCTAAGAGCCTTCGTGCATCAGCACCTTTGAGGTAAATGACCATCGACCCATAGGCCTTTGCACTATCTCTTCTACTGAGCCAAGCGATCTTGGCTACGGTAGTTTCGTTCTCCTCGCTGAAGGCTGCTGCGGCCCTGACCCGGATCTCATCGTTTTCATCCAGTACCGCAGCCTTGTTGACACTGTCGACTTTGATTGGGTAGAGCTCGTCTCGAAGCACCCGGGCTCCCTCGCCGATCTTTGTTTCCGCCACCCTTTTGACTAGTTGGTGTTCAGCTTCATCGCGGCACGCTATTCTGATCCGGTTTGTGTTCTTCGGATCGACCGTGACAGCGCGACAGCGCCAGTGAGTGTGGTTTTCCATCGTCCGGATCTCTGTCTCGACTGCCGCCCGAATTGGGCCTGCGGACATCTTCCGTTGTTCATTTTCTGCCATTTTTGAGGTGTCTATGGTGCAATACAACGTGTCAGTGAAGGTGGTCGGTGTGGTGTTCGACGTTGACAGAGTCCGTATGTTGCTCGGGTGACTGAGTGGAGGAGTACGGGCGACATCTGCATAGGACGGGCAGCTTGTGGGAACAGAAGGACTGATTGCGTCACGCAGGGTTTGAATTTCGCGTAGGATTTCATCGAGGCCGGTCTGAGAGCATGCCTCGGATTGCGGCGTCGAGGATCTATCTGTCAGGATCTGCAGCTCATGTCGAACTTCTGCGAGGGCGGCGCTGAATTCTTCCTTGGCCTTCCGCAGCTCTTCCTTGTGCAGTTCATCTCGCAATTTGATCTCTTTCCTGAGTTTGACAAGCTCTCGTACAAGTTCAGAGGCGTTTGGGTCCTCGCTCTCTGTCGAGGAGTCCGACGTTACCGCTTCCCGTTGGGCTACTGGATTGCCCTGGGTCTTCTTCTCCTTCTGCTGAGAGTGCGCATTTATCTGTTGGATGTCGACTGCTTGCTCTTGGCCATAGTTGTTAGGCGGTCTGGTGGTGCGTCTTGGTCTCAATACTCGTGGCGGTGAATTTTCGCGTTCGTCGCGGTCAAGCGGTTCAGGGGTTCGCGTCTCGGCACGTCCCGCCATTCTGGTTTTCTCGCGTTGCCCGTAGTAGTACCGACGCACTACAACAGGATTTTCTCACGAGGTCGTTCCCCTTTTTTAAGTACAATGATATTCGAAATCAGCTTTACTGTCAGGTGGCAATACCTGACACGGCTACAGAGGATTTCGAAAACAGTTTACCCCCAGACACACCCGTTTTCTTTTCCCAGAGACCCACAAGTACGTCTAGTCCGGATCGCTGGGTTTCAGATTTCCCCCCGCAGCCAATAGTACGGCGTTACGTCTCAAGGAAGGTACCCCCAGCTAGCCAAATTTAGCTTAGCGCATTCTGAGTGGGGCGCCGGGAAAGAAAGCATGTGTGTCTGGGGGGTAAACTGTTTTCGAATTCCTCTGTAACACGATCCTTCGTGTTCAAAACTGTAGTCAGCGGGAAACACTTGGTCAACAATGGCTGCACCACAAGTACTAGAGACCGACACCCTCCAATTGACCCCGCCTGCATACAAATCAGGGATTTCTGAATTAGGTGGTGCGCAGACGCTGGCAAGCAGCTCATAAGAAGAAAAATCTATATCGGTCCCCGCCTTAACAATATCAACTTTGCAGTTTGCAGCAGCAAGTGTACAGATCGCTAGACCTGCCACTGTTGCAATAATCGGATGAGCCATGACCTAGAGGACAAAGTCAGAGAAGCCCTTAGCAATGCGTTGGTTCGTAAATAACTGTATATTATGGAGCTTCCGACCTCTTTTTTTAACCTCGTGCGCGTCGCCGTAAAATTGTCTGTCAAGCCTATCGAAACGTGAGTGGAAGAAGTAGAGTATTGAATGAACAAAAGCCAAGAACGTACGAGCTGAAGTAGTTTATTAGTTAGACTGTCGAGAGCTGATTTGATATAATTTGAAAGAAGAGATGGTTGTGTATCGAGAATGGCCTGTAGTGATGAGATGAAAAAGACCGTTGATTCTGTTGGACTATCTACAGATAATATATCAGATTTCTGGATGACTGGTATGGTTTCACCAGTATAGCCACGTGGCATTTAACTTTTATTGTAAGGAGAGGAGGACAATAATTAATTGCGGTGTAAATTCCGGTTGCAGTTGTCAAGCACTACGCTTGGCCGAATATGGCAGGAGGGGTGTGTAAATAGCAATCTGCGGTGCGTAAATAGCACTACCCATGATTTTAAGGGGCAGACTGTACCTCAAAGCCGCACACTATATGCAGATGTTTGTTTTAACAGACATCGGCAGCGGCGGAGGGGAGCGGTCCCTTACCCTAGGCAGGACGCCTGGAAAAAGAGCCTAGTCTGAGCATTCGATAGGATTCGGGCCTTCCTAGGTGAGAAGGCTGTGTGTCCGCCGAAGGGTGTGTGTGTGCAGGACTTAAGGCTGTGAGGCATGGGTGTTTGGGTTGCGGTGTCGCGGGATGAAGGTCGCGGGACGGTCCAATCTGGTTCTGACCGGTTTGTTACCATTTTGAATTGGGAAATCAATATGTCGCGGGGTCGCTGAAAAAGGTTGCTGTCAGGTTGATTCGGATTATTTTGAATTTTTTCATCAAAGTTTCTCGACTAAAACCAGGCTTCCCATCCAGCGACCTCCACACAGCGACCTCCACACAGCAACCTCCACACAGCAACCTAATACGGCCAATAATCCAGTAAGCGTAAGGAAAGTTTGCGGTATTATAACGAACTCCCAATCTATACCGAATGAAACTGGAGTTGTAGGCCCTATAGTTGAAGCATCATCCTCTTATGGTCTCTCACAGGACCATACGAAGAAGAATCTCCTGAAAAAAGTAACACATCACCGACAGAATCCTACGGTCCGAAACCTGCAACATATCAGAGAGAAACACAGCAGAGCATGAGACGGTGTTACACCACAGATGACTCATGAGGATTCGCGAAGGTCTCAGGAGTTTAGACTATTAGAAGAGACATGACCTAGGATTTCGAATGTGGTTATTCTGAATTGCGAACTTGAAAACATGCTTGAACTTAGGAGTAGGCCCTCGACCACACATTAGGGGTGAGGAGCGGCGCTTGTGGTTTTCTAGAAGGCTGATTGGACACCGCTATTCGGCGGTTTGGAACCGCGATCCCACAGCCTTCTGATCTTGGAAGCCTGGTATTGCTCTGGCCTGCTAACTCGGCCTAGGTACCCAAGCTAGTTAAAATGCTCGTTTCCAGGGGGAGCCGAGTAGGTGGGAATGCAGATGAAATCAGATAAGCTGGAGACCACAGGAATTGTTCCCGGAAGCGCCATCTGACAAATAGTCAAAGGAGCCCAAAACCATTGGGGGTCTTATATCTTGAACGTAGTACGTGGATGAGAGGCAAGGATGGTATCAAGGCAGCGGTGGCGACTGAAAGACATACCATGATGATGATGATGATGATGATGATGATGATGATGTATTCATTTGCCCGATGTAGCTCGCTCTATATATATGCTGCTATGCGGGAGTGCTATCAGGCCTGCCGACAGCTGGAAAAAGTGGTCGCCAGCCCACTGGGCGACCGTTGGAAACTCGTACGAATTTCTAGTCAATCGCCCTCCAATGGAAAGATGTAAATTGAACAAAAGAAATGCACGGATCAAACATGATAAACAAAAATCCAAAATGAACGTCATTTACCCCTGGTGGTGGGAGGCCCCGCCCACTTCACACCATTCCAACGTCCACTTCTCCCCAACCGTTCAGTCTTGTCGGCTGCCGCTTGGAAGTTGTATGATATTCGCACTCTTGGCGGAGCTCTCTATTCTCTGACTGGAGTTGCTCGTTGTGCCAGAGAACAGCCTGGTGGTAGTGCGCGGACTTTTGTGACACGAGGCCTCGGTGCTGCTCGAGCGTTTTGATGAGACTCGGTGCGCTCGCGCATTAAGGGCTGCTTCAGATGGTTCTTCACACGTTTCTTCGATGACCGACCGGGGGAGGTTAACGTTTCCTACGCGACATGCTCAGTCGTTATCCGTTCAGGGACCTAGGGCCCCTATTGCCGATATTGTGGCTTATGATAAGTCCCCGAATTCGGCAAGGCTGGGCGCGACAGGGTCTGTGAATCTTTCGTGTTCCCGATGGCGGGTGTCACGTGGCGCTAGCCGAGGGCCTCGAAAGGAATAGTAACAGTAGAGCAGAGCCTCCGGAAGCGTTTCCGGCTGGACGGAGCCCACAGATCGGTTTTAAGGTCAGCATCGGCATGTTATATGGTATGGTCCAGAATGAGGAGGCATGTAGAATGTGAGTTGATTAGGGACAGAGCGTCGGGTCAATGCGCGACTTGGCTGGCGTGCATCCCTACGTTTGGTTGCTGTCTCATTCACCACCAACCAACAATCAAGCTTTTAATCTTAATTTTAATTTTTTCTTTTTCCCATCCTTCGATTCGTCGTCATTCACGTCGAACTGTGAGTAGTGGTAAAAAACTACAGCGAGAGTGGTATACTGTTATGGAAATTGGCGTTATTTCTCGACATATCTTGCCCACATATATCTTTGCGAGCGCCAACCAATGAATACACCCCTCACATTTCATATACGAACAAGCGACAAGGGTCCCGGGACTAAATACGCAATATATGAACGATAGAAAAGCAAGTTAATAATAGTGGTTATGAGTTCAAAATCCTCAAAGTAGATGTGGTACGGCCAATGTTGGTGCATGGTTGTCCACGCGACGATCCCAATCCATGTTCAGATGGACCTACGGCTCAGCAACATCCTCCCCGTCACCGCCCGAGCCATTCACTTCAGCAGCATTTCACCCCATATCGACGCGAATTTATTCACTTTCATGCCTGCTTGCTGTTATCTGCTCACTTAGTTGGAGGTAATTATTCAGAAAAGGATTCAGACTAAACCCCAGCCTGTTTTGGAAGCTTTAGAGTCTAGGCAGCTCCGGTCGCATCTCGTGTTGTCAATTCTAGCTTCACGCTGTGCTAGGCCAGAGCGATGTGACGAATTATCCAGGACAAGTACATGCGCGGTCATAGAGATAAACGCAGTAAGCCTACGACTCGTACTTGTCCAAATGGATGGATTGTGCCAGATAACTTATTAACACGTTTGGCCAACTTAGAAGCCGCCTTCGATGATTTTCTGCCGAACCCACTTTTTGTGATTGGCACTCTGGGCCCCAATCGCTGACTCATCGCCCTGCCAGGATCGTCTATTATCGACCAATGTTTCTCCTGAGAGACGAGAGGCCTGTTCAGGGACAGTATGTGCAACAGGCAAGGGCGCCGGCGTCCAACTGGGCTCCAACACTGTGCCAGTGTTGGAAGATTCTGCTCGCTCGGAGGCTGTAATCGTTTCGGATGTTGCATGGTAGAAAGGGTCATCGTCCGTCCACCACGTGCAAGAGGGTTCAAGGTCCAGGTCAATCAATCGAAAATCGCCACTCGTTCTAGGATGAACGAAACGGCGTACTGCTGCGCGTAACGGGTTGCTTGCGCATACTAAGACCAGTTAGCGTTGGCATAATCCAAGGGGTAACCGACGGAGCGCTCATACCCGAAACCGCGGTCGTTCCGCCTGTACCATCCACAAGGCGTGCCAGCTCCTTGGCGATATTGATGGCATGAAAATGGTATTTCAATCGCGTACGGTTGCGGTAACGAATCTGGTCCACGGGCTGAGCATCTAGGATATGTGTGGTAAATTGCAGGATCTGCCACCGAGTTAGCCCGACCTATTGTAAAATTTATAGCAAGAAGGAGAATTCACTCACATCAAATCCCCGGTCATCTCGATGTCTATGCTCGGGACAATCGTCTCGGTCAAACATACGGTCGAGTTCAAGGATTTGCGAGATTTCATCCCCCACCCAGTGGGGATGGTCTGTTTCGGTAAGCACATAACACCGCAAAGCATCTGAGAAGAAGAAGGACACCTACTGAAATATTTCAGCCTAACTTGCCACAGGACCTCTAGCCGTCGCACCGTGTTCCTCCGGCTTCGGCTTTCTTGAACGAGATGTCGTATGAACGGCAACGCGCGGAAGAGTCCAA